ACGAAGGGGCTGTGCCCCGAAACGTATTATGTATTTGTTTGAAGTTTAATAAATTTTGTTTCCAACTTGAAGTTTTATATATATATATATATATATATATATATATATATATATATATATATATATATATCTTATAAAATTATACACTAGATAGCGCATCTCTTTTAGTAAAATTGAAGCCAAGAATATTCCGGCGGTTACCCCCATTTGAATAGATGGCGGCCATGTTGAAGTTTCCCACTCGCTAATAAACGCTTAAAAAACAACAATAACTTTCATCATTTGAACAGTTTGTAAATGTAGGCTACTTGGAATAGGTTTAACTTAATGTTTAAGTTCCCTGTTTAAGAAATAGAAAACATAGGAGTCTCCTCATTTCATGGGAATATCCTGAGTCTCATGCAATCACGGCTTCAATTTTTGAATTGCAGAATAATGGGGTATCTATTTAGCTGCAATAATTATATACGAAGCAAAGTCACTTAAGTTTAAAATTAAAGATGACAAAGTTGCGGTGGCTCAAAATTCGTTACCTAAAATTTGTTCTCGTTATTAGATATATACGGTTTTTATGTTTAAAATTTCTTTCCTGGTTTTAAAATGCAAACTTTCTCCACCAAACAAAAGTTGCCTAATTGTTTTCCTGCATTCTTATATACACTTTCGCTCGTTTTAAAATGTTCTATTCGATTGAATACTTTACACCCTCGCGTTTACTTTCCCTATTTACTGTCCTTGGATAAGGTTGTCACTTGATGCATATCTAAATTTAAAGATAAAAAGCAGAGCCCAGCAAATAACTTTAAAACCAAATATAATAAAAGGGCATGCATGGTATATTTACAAAATATGCATATCTCTTGATGTTAAATGACTGCCCTTCGCAATTACGGGGCTTCGGTGGCCAAGTGGTTAGCGCACTTGCCTTTCACCTCTGAGGCCGCAGGTTCAAGCCTCAGTGAGAACTCTCAATGCGACTCGAACCCAGTCGTCATGTGAAAAGAGTAAAAGTCAACTCTCTGCCGAAAGTCGTGGGTTTTCCCCAGGTACTCCGGTTTTCTCCCACAGGGAAAGTTGACAGGGCGGGTTAGGTAAAAGGGCCCACAGCAATTGGCACATGCTGTTGTGGTGACCCAGCCCTAGTTGGCAAAGCTAAGTAAATAAATTTAATGGGTTACTTTTGGATAAGTCACCTATACCTATTATTAACATGTTTTCTGGTAAGTTTTCCAATTGAAACTAATGATTCGTTCTTTAAAAAGGTGATTTCTACAGTTTATTGTCCTCTATTCTTATAATCAACCAATCATAAAACCTGTTCACTTAGACCCCGTTTACACGGTACCGGACGAATTTGTGACCGGACGAAAATTCGTCCGTTTCGGCCGTGTAAACACACGAGAACCACGGAACCGGACGAATTTGAGACCTCCTAACAGGACGAATTCGCGTGTAAACAGGCGAAAAAGGACGAATTTTTGTCCGGTCCCAAATTCGTCCGGTACCGTGTAAACGGGGTCTTAGACCCGTACCTTTTCCTTTTATCATCCCGAAATGACGTCACAATAATTAGTGCTTGCATAAGGGTTGGTGTTGAATCACTGCTCTATGAATTAGAACTGCATGGATAAGCAATCAATGAGCCAATTTTGAGCCAGAATACTTTTAATGGGGAGTGATTCTTAAAGGTGATCTACAGTCCGATCTGCGCATGTGCACAAATGAGCCCACTTTTTATGATACAAACAGTTTAACTATGTTTTGAGTTCTTGAAAAGCCTGATTGTTGTTTCTTGATCATTTATTATACTCTAGAAGCTTGAAAATATAAATTTTGGACACAAAAATGTAAACACAGGCTTTGCCGTTTACATACGGACTGTAGATCACCTTTAAATCTGTAATATCCTTTAAAACTCGAGTTAGTTGTGTTGAATCTAACTTTGCTATAAAGCAAATGTTGTTTGCTATGGGATGAGATATAGCTTGCCACCATATTTGATTGAATTTCAGTTTTAGAACAGGTTTTGTTCAGTTGTAACAACGCTGTAACAATATTGTTGACAACTTGTTCTTAGGGCCTGTTTATATGGAGGCGAGTTACCCGACAAGACGAGTTACTCGCCCAGGCAGGACAAACAAGCGCTCTGTTTATGTGGAACCGAGTTACTCGGCATTTGCTGCATGATTGCCGCATGACGCCGAAATGGCGCCAAAACACAAAAACGATTTAAAGTCGTTTGAAACGTTAAAAACATTCCAGAATGTCGTGAAAATACAAGAATAGGCGCCGAGAAATTCAGGATAACGTATCTATCGATTCATATCTATTTTTGAGCTATTATACATTTCAAATGCAAAGCACATACACTCTATCTCGGGCGGCCGAGTTACCCGGGTAAAGTGTTTACATGGCAAAATATTCATCTCGCCTAGGCGATATCCCACCTCTTTCTGCCGGGAACTTGCCAAGGCGAGTCACAGTCACCCGGGATGACTATAAGTTTCTATATTAGACGGGATCTCGCCGTTACCGAGTAACTCGCCTTGCCGGGTACAGCACAATCTTGTTCAAGCCTGTCGATGTCTGCCAGGAAAAGGTTAACGTGCGTGTATAGCCCAAGTATTAAGCCCTGGGCAAACTAGGAAACATTGTTGTGGAAACTTTTGTGATTCTCGATGTTTCCTCAAATGTTTCCCTGTTTGCCCACCCGTGGAAACATTGTTGCGGAAACAAAATTTGCTTCCCAAGAAGCAAAAATGTTTCCTACGTTTGATGTTTCCCTATGTTTCTCACTGATGTTTCCTAGTGTTTGCCCACTCTTGGAAACATTGGTAGGAAACAATGTTTCTGCAACAATGTTTCCTAGTTTGCCCAAGGGCTTTAGGGTATACTGTAGGTCAGTGGATTCAATTCTATTTTCGATTTCCTTTAACAGTCTTTTTTCCAACTCTTTAGCCATTTGCAGTAAAATATCCTCCATTAAAAACGGGAAGGTATTTGGCGAAGATAGATTGCATATAGAAGGAGATAAAATAAGTTTTACTTGTAATCCGAACTACCTGCTTGACGGAGAGGAAGTGATCAGATGTACAAGTACTGGGCAATGGAATGCCTCGGAGCCAGTATGTAAACTTCAAGGTAACCGATTTGCCTGTATCAGTATAAAAATTGTATGAATGTATAATATAATACATGTTTTGCTTTGAAGAAAACATTACTTATATTGCAAGGCTAATTCGTTCTGTAAAAATGGTTCTTCTATTATTGGTGACTACTGTTTTTAGAGCGGGAAGAGAACGTCGATGAATAATTTTTGATGGACTATATTACTATCAAACAATAGGACTTTAGGTCCTCCTTAAAGCCCAAAGGCCTTTATAGGCCTTGTGTATTTCGAAGACACAATTTCTCGCGAAGAATTTCGCCATTGTGGGATCAGGATTAGCGCTAATCCTCGGCTAAAATTTAACTTTTTGTTTTAGTTTCTGTATTTCTGGACCTACGTTTATTTTAAAATCTCTCAGAGAAGAAAACTCTTATTGATCCGGACAAGATTCACGAAGAAATATTTCCAAATTTATAAACAAACTGTTGGGAAGTTCGCTTTGAGCACAAAGTATACATTTGGCATTTGGTCCCACTTTATAGATCTTCTTTAAGCCTGAAAATCGTTACTTGATGGTTGAACAGAGCATAGAGCTAACTCGCTATAACCAATCACGAACGTCTAATCAACTAAATCACCCTCCTTGCGAAAAATATGTAAACCGCTGTACATTGGAAATTCAACGCAATGATTCTTCTTCTTTTCAGTTCAAATTCAATGATTCTTCTTCTTTTCAGTTCAAATTCCGTTAAACCACAATTTCAACAACGCCTACCACAATGCAGGCCACAGCACATTCTCGTTTCACAGACAAATGCCTGCATAAAAAGCTTTGTGATATGGACATAATGTATATAAAACATACTGAAAATATCCGAAAAGCAAAGTCTGTGAATTCAGACTCGTCCAATATGAGAGATAGCCGATCCGGCGCTGTATACGCGCCTCATCGGCTATCAGCTCATACTCGACTCGAGTTCGTAGAATAACTGTTAAATAATCAGGCTTATATGTGAATAAATAAATTTTTTTCAGAAATTTTGAAAAATACCATGCATTGGATCGCGCTCTCCGGCAGTCGTATAACAGACCACTTTTTTATATAGCTACTGCCCTATTAAAATTGTAATGATATTCTGAGTAAGGATATACTTTATTATAGAGCGACAATGTAATATGCCGCTGATTTTGTTTATTTTCCAGTTCATACTCCGTCAACTACAATTTCAACAACGTCCACCACAGCCCAGGCCACAACACAAGGTAAACTTACTATATTTTGTAATTATAACTTTTGTAATTATATTAAATATTAAGGCATGCTATCAAATAATTAATGTAAATTTGCACGTATGGTAAAATGGCATTACCGATCACGTTTCACATGAGATAAAACAGCCATTTCGTTTTTCACATGCAAGTAAAAGATTAGTCCATTTCACAAAAATTATAAATATCCTTTTGAGTGTACTACGTTTTCTCTTCTAAATTTTGTATTTAAGTCTTTCGAACTCTTTGCCCTATTTTTATAGTTTCAAAGCTGATTTTACCAAGAAAATTTTAGCGATATTTTAACACACATGCAGCAAACCGATGTATCTTTTAAAAAATCAAGAACACATACAGTAAAAATTTTGTATCTTAACTTAATTCTCACTACTTGTTCAATCTTTCTTCTATTGGCCTCAAATTATGCGGTGGAAAGCGCTCTTCTTACAACAGACCACTTCTTCTATACAAAAATATCGCCTTTTTAAATTTTAAGGATATTCTGAGTAAGGATGTACTTTATTAGAGCGACTATATAATATGCCGTCGATTTATTTGTATTTTTCAGTTCAAATTCCATCAACTACAATTTCTACAACTTCTGCCACAACCGAGACAACAACACAAGGTAAACATACTATATTTGCTGCCGCAGCGAGCGAGCCTGAAGCGAGCGAGCAAGGCAGCAGATCCTCATTTTGTTTTGTGGGTCGAAATCAAAATTTTCTATTTGGCGCATTGCATGACGGTACCAGTGAATTTTAACCGTGGTGCAGCGCGGTCAGGCATAAGGCAAACAGGCAATGTGATCATCTTTCATCTTTGGTCTTCTTTTATGGAAAGCCATAGCTGGCAGCTGGCTTAGAGTGATCAAACGGCATTTTGTTGGGTGCTTTTAGCATTATACGGCGGTGCTTTCGGCATTATACACGGTGCTTTCGCCATTATATGCGGTGGTTCCAGTATTATACGCGGTGCTTTCACCATTTATATACGCGGTGCTTTTGCAATTATACGCAGTGGTTCGAGCACTATATGCGGAGCATTTAATATTATACGCGATGCTAGCTTTCATTCAACATTATTTCCATATTCTTTCCATGACATGTATATGATTTAACGATTGCTTAAATTTGGTATGTGGCTGACAAATGCTTTTTGCCTATGGTCTGCATGGTCAATGACATGCTTTTCTGTGTATATAAATGAATATAACGCAGCGAATGCGCCAAACAGTATAAACGCGGCTGAAATACGATATTAAAATCTTAAATGTGCCTTATGATTTAATTATGTTTTAGGATTTACAAATGCTTTGTCATTTGTATTTATACTTGTACTGCATCACAAGGCAGTACGTAAGTGAAAAAATTCCACATGTGAGATTGTCTTGTATACATTTTTGCTTTCTTTGATAAACATTATTAAACACGCAAATTTTAATTATATTAGTGAGACGCAATGTTAAATGTCACCTGCATGTCATTGTCATTGCCCTTTAACCCCTGGTCTAATTGGCCGCTTTTGAAAATGTTGATCATGACGAACCGCACTGACTTAATTATGCAAACTTTGTGTTTCAAAAACGGGTTAGGATAAAACGCGGATACGGACGAACGGATGAATGACGGACGGATGGATGGCGACGGACGGACCGGACGGATGATATATATATATATATATATATATATATATATATATATATATATATATATATATATATGTCATTATATAGTCTGCGCGCAGCCGCGCAGGGTAGTTAGTGGCTTACGTCTTCGCTGGTTGTTACACTTTAAAATAATTTTGTATATACCGAGAAATCAATATTCCGAGTATAGAAATATATAAACTGGGATGTCACACTGATAGCTTGTTTACATTTCCTGGAGCATCATGAAATCTTATGTTTAACCACGGTGGTTTAACCCATTAGCTGGCAATGCGCCCTTCCCTTGTCCAACGCCAGAAGATTTTACTCGTCAGTGGTATAGGGTACTGCCAGTAAATGGGTTAACAAACCTATCTGCCAGTGGCTCTTGTTAATTTATCAACACAGTAATGACCCTACTTTAGTATTTACCCTGTCCAACGCCAGACGATTTTTAATACTCAGTCAGTGGTAGGGTACTGTCAATAAATGGGTTAACCTGCAAGGACAACAATAATAGGATGTTTCTGAAGGACTCGTTCAACACCCTATAGTTTGTCTTTTGCTGTCAAAGGCAGCATTACTGCCCTGTGGGTAACCTAGTTTTTAAATTAATTGTGCTCTTCTCAGGTTCTTACCCTGCCCAATACGCAAATTTATGGACATTTCTCAGCTAAATACATGTAAAAAATGTCAGACAGTCTTACATTAGCTCA